GTCTGGTTGCTTTCATTGTTGTAGTTGTAGGCTTAGTCTGTAGAGTAGATAGGGCGCCTGGCGCCATTCATAAGAGAGAGCTACATTGGGTTATGCTGTTGGTGTTGCCCTGTTGGGCATGGACATTGACTCACGATTCTTCTGTATCATTCTCAATTGGATGGTTACTCGGTTCCATTGTGCTATCTGCTTTGGCTTTGACTACTTGGACTTCAGTGTGATTTTGCATTCTGGATTTCTGTGCTTCGTCCATATTCATGTTCCTTGCAATTTGGTATCAGAGCTGGTTTGATCGCCACTTACCTTTGGCACACTGGCGTTATACAGACTTGGTGCGTTGACGATGCTTCTTCGCAGTTGGTTCTTGTGACGTCAGGCCACATAGGCGCATGCCCTGGGTAGAGAGGGGTGCGCCGGAAGGCTACAGACGACATTATTAGCCGTGGTGACAGGCGGAACGTATGATTGGTGATGAGAGCATGCTGAAGTGGCATTCGGCTGAGGTGGCACTGCATTGCGTTGTGAGTGGTACCGAGGCCAAGACTGGTCATCAAATGCACACTCAGCTCAATTGGTGAGAAATCCGTGGTTGGGGGCAGCTATCTCCAGGTACGTTGTTCCCTTACCTTATCTACTCTCTCAATCTCTTCTTACCGTGAGGAAGTGAGTCCAACTTGAGAGTCCTCTCTTTTGGTGAGGTGTCGTGAACGCGCTACCTTGAGAGACGACAATCTTCCCGGAAGCATCTGGAAGGAGAAAGGGCGGTGCCTCTGAAGGGCCCTGGTCGAAGCACTGGGTCACGGTCACCATGCCAACCCAATGGGAGTAGGTCACGCATGCGATGGCTGCTGTCCATTATTGGCACTTGCTGCGCTAAATAGAAGCTCCGCCAGGTGTGCCAGCCTTTTAGAGACGCTTACCAGACTATCTATAAACATTTCTGATTGGGGACTCGGATTGATTCTAGCTGTGATCGTCATCCTGACTGTGGCGTTAAAGAATTCCTAAAGAGATGGGGGCGCTCTATAAATTCCTCCTGATCAGCCAGATCAACCGGGTGTAAGGCTCGTTTCCGTACGAGGGTAAATAAGAGTGGACTGGCCGGCTTGCTCGGCGACAACTTGGGCACAGGGGTGGGCTGATACACACACGAAGACACTGCTCACTCAATGATGCTGTTTGGTATGTTGGATTGAGGGGAGGGTAGGTTCTAATTGGTGCTCAACAGAATACACAACCATACCCACTCATCATACATCTGCTACATTGTCTTTTTGCATCTTTGATTAGTTGGTGGACAGACTGCTAACACCTCACAGACAGCTTAGATTAGGATTGTTGTATACTACCATAGCTAGTTCTGTTTAAAGCTGCTGTAAGTGAACCTATCAAGATACATCTAGACTATGTAGACAATCTGTGTGAATGTTGTAGACATGCCACTTGATCGGTACAGTAGGGGACCTGCCGGACACAACTATTTTTAGAAAATTAGGTGTCGGTCAGACACATGCTGTGGTAGGACTCCACTAGGGGGTTCTAGTGCAGACAATGTTTGCCTAATTCATGAACGGGTCAGACGTCGATGAGGAGAGAGTTGACGATGCTAGACTAACACATGCAAGGTCACGTAGGATCCCGCACGTGTTCCAGGCCCTACAACCGAAAGACGAAAGACGCATTCGTGCCGAACGCAAGGCTCGTGCTCTCGCAGCATCGAGAGAGGCAGCAAACGTTGCAGCTAGGGAACAGGCTGCAGCAACAGCCAGGGCAACAACCATGTCTTCTGCAGCAGCATCCTCCACTGCATCTTCTGTTGTCTCCTAGTCTAGACCCCAGTTGGGAATGCCAACAGGGTCCGCGGGCACTTCCAGTTTAGCAAGATCACGTCAGTCTACAAGTCAAATGGTGGGCTCGCAGTTCAGCCCGTTGACTCCTCGCGAAAGGGAGCTCAGGGAGCTCCAACAGGTCGAAAGGATCCGTGAACAATTAGAGAGGGACCTGAAGAAAGCAACCGATAGAGAAAGGGAAATTAAAAATAGAACAGCCAGGCCTGATACTTTAGAGGCTGACAAAGCTGAGTTAGAGGGCCTAGATGACTCTGGAATGAATGAGCCCATGAAAGTGTTGAGGAACAACATCCTGTCGCTGCATGCGCACGTGGACAGCAGGTTGGACTTCATGCAGAACACTTTGGACCAGATCCTGGACGCTTTGACAAGGCCAGGATTTAGGCCACCGGCACAATCGTCGTTGCCGTTATCGGCGATGTCAGGCCCCTTTCCAGTTCAAGCTGGTACACAACCAAGTGGTACGTCTGCAACAGTCGCACAGACTTCTTCGGGTCCAGCGGTGGGAGCTACACCACCGCAACAACCTGTTCCTCAACAGGGACAGCAGCAAGGTCAATGGTACCCCAAGACCCCAATGAAACCGCCTCTTGCCTTCTTAGGCGAGAGGAAGGACGAAGAACTCAACACATGGTTGAGGACAGTCCCGGTTTGGGTAAAGGCCAAGAGGACCTTGCTAGAGGACGAAGTGGTTACCGCTGCATCTTACCTCGAGGGTAAGGCAACCAAGTGGCTAGATGGGGTAGTTGTAAAGGCCGGGTTTGGGCGACGTATGGCGGACTGGGCTAAGTCTCTAACGTTAGACCAGTTCATGAAAATGGTAGAAGCTCGATGGCATAATCCACAGGAGGCACAAAGGGCCACTGATGCGATTAACAAGTTAGACCAACGAAAATTTAAGTCAGTCAGAGAGCTTACGACTACCGTTGAGAGCCTGATCCTCGTCCCAGGCATCAACTACAGTGACCAGTTCCTGTTAACCACGTTTGTTAGATGTTTACCAGAAAACATCAGGAACTTACTGGCCAGCGAGGCACGCACTGAGTACCATTCGCTTGAGACACTCTAGGAAAGCCTTAGATTTGGAGGCCACGCTAGGCAATGCTCAACCAACCTCTCAGATTGACACGAAGAAGAAGAAGAGTCCTCATGAGTGGAAGAAGAAGGGGGCTAAGTTGATGATGGTTGAGTCCGATGGGACTCAAACGGAGATCGACGAGCTCACTGACCTGATGGACTACTCAGAGTTTGACGGAGAGGAGGTAGCTGAGGGTAGCATACTCGCCTCGGTAGTCAAGACTAAGGTTGGTGGCCGAGGGAAGGGCCAACCAAGGAGTCAAGGGAAGGCCGCCTCCAATCAGTCCAAAGTGGTTGAATGGGTGAAGGCAGGTCTTGATCAAGACGTGTGGCGTGACCGCCGAGTGCGTGGCGCTTATATTAACAGCGGGGAATACGGACACTCGCAGTACAAGCGCCAGAACGCGAAGGTCACGCAAAAGATAGCTCCAAAGATAGGGACATCTTATTCCCAGGCTTCTAGCTCGGGAAACGCGTGAGGCCAGTGGAAGTTTTAGCGGCTTCTACTGATGAAGTGGGTCTGATACCCTCCCCACTTCATGACAAGGCCAAAAGTTGTAGGCTTAGTCTGTAGAGTAGATAGGGCGCCTGGCGCCATTCATAAGAGAGAGCTACATTGGGTTATGTCGTTGGTGTTGCCCTGTTGGGCATGTACATTGACTCACGATTCTTCTGTATCATTCTCAATTGGATGGTTACTCGGTTCCATTGTGCTATCTGCTTTGGCTTTGATTACTTGGAATTCAGTGTGATTTTGCATTCTGGATTTCTTTGCTTCGTCCATATTCATGTTCCTTGCAATTAGTTGGTGGACAGACTGCTAACACCTCACAAACAGCTCAGTTTAGGGCTGTGGTATACTACCATATCCAGTTCTATGCAAAGCTTCTGTAAGTGAACTAATCTGGATAAAATTAGATTGTGTTACAGTCTTTGTGAATGTTGTAAGGCTGCCACTTGATCGGTTGAGTAGGGGACCTGCCGGACACATTTATTTTTAGAAAATTAGGTGTCGGTCAGACACATTCTGTGGTAGGGCTTCCGCAGGGAGTTGTAGTGCAGATAGTGTTTGCCTAACTGATGAGTGGGTCAGACGTCGATGAGGGTAGAGTTGACAATGCGAGGCTGACACGTTCGAGATCACTTAGGGTCCTGCACGTGTATCAGGCCCTACGCCGGGAGACGAAAGGCGGCTTCGTGTCGAAGCTAGAGCTCGTGCTTACGCAGCAGCGAGGGAAACAGCACTAGCTGCAAGTCAGGCGTTGGCAGCAGCAAACGCCGCAGCTAGGGAAAGGGCAGCAGCAGCAGCCAGCGCAGCAGCAATGGCTACCGCGACAGCATCCTCTGCTGCATCCTCGTCTGGGACCCAGTTGGGGATGCCCCCTGGGCCCACGGGTACTTCCGGGTCAGTAGGTTCCAGTCAGTCCACAAGTCAAATGGCGGGCTCGCAGTTCAGTCCGTTGACCCCACGCGACAGAGAGCTACTAGAGCTCCAACAAGTCGAGAGGATTCGCACTCGGTTAGAGAGGGAACTGAAGCAAGCTACCGATAGAGAGAAAGAGATAAAAAAATAGAACAGCCAGGCTTGATACGTTAGAGGCAGACAAAGCTGCATTAGAGGAGTTAGATGAGTCAGCAATGTCTGACGCAATGAAAGTGTTAAAGTCCAGCATACTGTCATTGCATGGGCATGTGGACAGCAGACTGGATTTCATGCAGAACTCCTTGGACCAAATCTTGGACCTTTTGCAAAGGCCAGGATTACGGCCAGCAGCACAGTCATTGTTGCCGTTAACGGCGATGTCAGGCCCTTTTCCGGTACAAGCTGGCACACAGCCAAGTGGTACGTATGCAGCAGCTGCACAGACTGTTGCTTCTTCTTCTTCTAGTCCAGCGACTGGAGCTATACCACAGCCGCAACAATTTGTTCCACCTCAGGGACAGCAGCGAAGTCCATGGTACCCAAAGACCCCAATGAAACCGCCCCTTGCCTTCTTCGGTGAGAAGAAGGACGAGGAACTCAACACTTGGTTGAGAACAGTTCCAATGTGGGTAAGGGCAAAGAGGACGTTGCAGGAGGAGGAGGTGATTACTGTTGCATCTTACCTTGAGGGTAAGGCAGCCAAATGGCTGGATGGGATAGTAGCGAAGGCCGGGTTCGGACGACGCATGGCAGACTGGGCTAAGACCCTTACTTTAGAAGAGTTCTTAGATATGGTAGAAGCTCACTGGCATAATCCGCAGCAGGCCCAAATAGCCACTGATGTGATGCTCAGACTGGACCAGCGAAGGTACAAGTCTGTTAGAGAGCTGACGTCTACCGTAGAGAACCTCATCGTCGTTCCCGGTATACACTATGATGACCAGGTCTTATTGACCATGTTTCTTAGATGTCTGCCCGAGAATCTCAGGACCTTAACTGGCCAGCGAGGCTCGCCTCGAGTATCATTCCTTTGAGACCTTCTCCAGAAAGGCCTGAGATTTAGAGGCTACTCTAGGAAGTGCTCAACCTACTCCAGTAGACGGGAGGAAGAAGAAGAGTCCACAGGAGTGGAAAAAAAAGGGTAGTAGATTGATGATGGTTCAGTCCGATGGGACTCAAACTGAAATCGAAGAACTTACCGACCTGATGGACAGTTCAGAGTACGACGACGAGGAAATCGTTGAGGGTAGCACCCTCGCCGCAGTAGTAAAGACTAAGGCAGGTGGTCGAGGTAAGGGCCATCAAAAGAGTCAAGGGCAGACCGCCTCCACAGCAGCAGATTGGGTTAAGGCAGGTCTTGATCAGGAAGTGTGGCGGGACCGCCGAGTGCGTGGTGCTTGCATAAACTGTGGTGAATACGGACACACCCAGTACAAGTGCAAGAACGCAAAGGTCACGCAGAAGATACCCCCTAAGGGAGGGGTGCCTTCTTCCCAGGCTTCCAGCTCGGGAAAAACTTGAGGCCGGTGGAAGTTTTAGCTGCTTCTACTCATGGTGAAGTGGGCTAGATACCCTCCCCACTTCATGAGATGGCCATAGCTAATGACTCTTTAGTCACCCTGCAGACTCATCTAGACCAAACTATGCTCTGTACGTTGGATGTGTCTGAGGCCTTAGAAGATTTAGAAAGTAAGTGGTCAAGCAAGGACCCTCGCGAATCTTGGGTGGCACTAAGTAGAGGTCCTAGAGGGGAACATTTCATCGTGGAAGTTGCTGTAGGAGGCCGCAAATGTGGTGCCTTCATAGACACCGGCTCCACGCGGAATTATATAAGTCGCGACTGTTTCGAAAGGCTGCACCTAGAGGACCGGGTACAGCACCTTAGTAGACCGGTAGCATCTACTTTCGCCAACAAGGAGCGCATGGTTGTCACAGACTATGTCAAGGATGTAGTCTGTACCTTCTCCCATGGAGGAGGGGAACTTAATCACAAGATTTCGTTCCTGGTTAGCGACGACTTACCATTTGATACTACCTTGAGGTTGCCAAGCCCCAGTTTGACTGGACAAGAAGGTGCTAAAGCATAAGTTGTCGGATGGAAGGACCATGAGACTGGCCAAGTATAAGGCTAGTAGGTTACTAGAATCCTATGGCTGCTTGTGCGCATCAGCGTTCTACAATTACTATAAACAGAACCAAGAGGAGGGTATGTACTTAGTGTATGTCGCTGAGAAAGGGGAGGCCGTTAAAACACCCCCAGAGATAGAACACGTCGTTGCTAAGTTCCCTGATCTATAGGATGGCTCCGACCGAGTTGGACGAACTCCGGCGACAACTCAAAGAGCTGACAGAAAAGGGTTGGATACGGCGGAGTACTTCCCCCTTCGGATCTCCAGTGCTGTTTTTACCGAAGAAGGGGGGATCGTTGAGGATGTGCATTGATTACAGAGGCCTCAATGCCATCACAGTGAAGAACGCAGAGCCTCTACCTCGCATAGACGACCTATTGGATAGGGTGCAGGGATGTAAGTACTACAGTAAGATAGACTTAACGTCCGGCTACCATCAGATTGCCATAAGACCTGAGGATCAGCACAAAACCGCATTTCAGACCAGATACGGTCTATACGAGTTTGTAGTGATGCCCTTTGGCCTTTGCAATGCGCCGGGTTCATTCCAACACGCCATGAATAGGATCTTCCATGACTACTTACATAAGTTTGTCGTCATGTACCTTGACGATATTCTTATCTAAAGTAAGTCTGTCGAGGAGCATGCACAACATTTAGAAATTGTACTTTCTCTCCTGCGACAGCACAAGTATAAGGTCAACCTAGAAAAATGTGAGTTTGGACGCACTAGGATCTTGTACTTAGGTCATGAGGTATCCGCGGAAAGGATTAGGCCAGAAGATGCGAAGGTGGCTAGTATTAGGGACTGGCCACGACCTCAGACTGTTACTGAGGTCAAATCTTTCTTAGGGATGTGCGGCTACTACAAGAACTTTGTGAAAAACTATTCCATGGTCGCCTCTTCCTTGACTGATCTAACTCGACTTGATACGTCGTGGGACTGGAGTGATGAGTGCGAGGCTGCGTTCAAACGATTGAAGCATGCACTCATGAATCATGAGGTTCTCATGGTGCCCGATCCTCAGAAGCCTTTCATTGTGACCACTGACGCAAGCCAATACGACATTGGCGCAGTGCTGGCTCAGCAGGATGGGAAGAAGTTAAGACCGATTGAGTACATGAGCAAGAAATGTCATCAAAGAAACTGGCAAAGTCCACCTACGAAAGGGAACTCTATGCCCTTTACAAGGCACTTGTCTATTGGAGGAACTTTCTGTTGGGACGGTTTTTCTATTTGAGAACTGACCATCAGACCCTTAAATGGATCAAGACTCAACCTGCTCTTTCTGATGCACTCAAGCGCTGGATTGAGGTCATAGATCAGTATGACTTCAAGCTAGAGTATCTGAAGGGAGAGTACAACAAGGTTGCAGATGCGCTGTCACGTAGGGCAGACTACCTAGGGGCGCTAGTTTCCGAATTTGGTGTATTTAAGGAAACTCTATCGTTGGTGGGAGCCTATCAGGAAGACCCTGTCACGATGGACATCATACGCAAACTGCAGGCGAAAGATAAGGCCATAGAATATGAGTTTGTGATGGTGGATGGGTTGCTCTTTCTGAGAAAGGCTGGGATTGAAAGATTAGTTGTTCCATCTAGTGAAAATTTACGTAGTTTATTTCTAGGAGAATGTCATGACACAACTGGACACTTTGGCTACAAGAAGACAAGCGGTAATCTGATACAACGATTCTGGTGGCCTGGTATGCTAGATGACGCAAAGGAGTATGTGGAGACCTGCCAGATCTGTCAGCGGGACAAGCCGCGAACTCAAGCACCGCTTGGGTTGCTGAAGCCCTTGCCCATCCCCGTTGGGCCAGGACAGAGTGTTTCCATGGATTTCATGGACACCCTGGTAACCAGTAGGAGTGGCAAGAGGCACATCTTTGTCATCATAGACCGATTCACCAAGTATGCTAGACTGATTGCTATGCCAGAGACGGCGAGGACTGAACACGTCATCAAGTTGTTTATGGACAACTGGTGTGTGATTTTGGACTGCCAAAGTCAATCGTTAGTGACAGAGATGTCCGATTCACAAGCGAGCTGTGGAAGAAGACTGCTGAACAATGGGCAGTAAACTTCAGATGACTTCTGGGAATCATCCCGAAGCCAACGGACAGGCTGAACAGATGAACAGAGTTGTACAACATCTGCTGAGGCATTACATCAAGCCCAGCCAGGATGACAGGGATGAGAAAGTGCCTCTCATCGCCAGCCTGTACAACAACGTTGTACACAGCAGTACCAGCGTCAGTCCTAACCAACTGTACTTGGGATGGAAGCCTAGATCACCGCTGGACTTCCTCCTGCTTGAAACCGACCCTCTGCAACTCCGGGCACACTTGAGTGTGGTGTGCAGTATGAGAAGTTGCTACAGCAAGTTGTCGAGCACATCAGGAGATCTCAGGAAGCAATGATTGCTTCTGAGAACAAACATCGTCGACAATCCACATTTCAGGTAGGGGAACGTGTCTGGGTCAAGGCTAGTGAGCTAGGACAGGAATTCGGCATCTCTCGGAAACTAATGCCACAATATTTTGGTCCCTGGGAAGTCCTGGACATAGTTGGGGATGATTTGGATGGTCCTTCCTATGTTATCCGTATCCCTGGTCACTTGCGCACTTACCCTGTTTTTCACGCCTCAAAGCTTGCACCTTTCGCTGAGACAGATCAATTTCCTTCAAGGAGATCAATGCTGCCGCCATCCATGGATGGCCACGTGGACGTCGACGACATACTTGAACACAGAGATACGCCTGTTCCAAGACCTCTGGGCCGAGGAAGACCTCCGAAACCCAGAACAGAGCACAGAGTCAGATTCAGGCATCACACGGATCCTAAAGAAGATCGATGGTTCACCAGAGAGGAACTGATTGAAACAACACCTCGGGTGGTAGCTGAATGTGAAAGACAACTAAAGGGGAAGGCACCTGCGAGGTAAGCATCTCAACGGACTTTCGAAGCTAAGGGGGATGGAATGTGAGGATTGAGCCCTCAACGGGGCCATGCCCACATGCATATGTTCTGGGCATAGGGCAACAGCAAGCCTCGTGCCCGCCCTAAGTGAAGGCGGGCCAGATTATCCACGAGAGACCTTCATTCAACATTTCACAAAGTGGGTATAAGACAGTTGCCGTACACTAGTCGGTTGGAGTGCATCGTGAGCCTCAGACTCCTGCAAAGGCAGTTCAGCCCAGGGCCTCGGTTGGTTGAGCCCTGGGCGAAAGTCTAGGAGGCCGACACATCACACATTGGTCCCTGGCCTCGGAAAAGCAGTATTTCGTCGCAGAGGCCGAGGAAGCCAATGGGAAACCGGTACGGGGTCTGAATCTGGACAACGGCCCTAGCATAAGGGGCGCAACTGTATTACCTGGGCCCCATCTGCATTGGGCCTGGGTATAGGTACTGGGGCCCAGGCGCAGGCTCAAGGGAGACCCCCCCCACACAACACTGGCATATAGGCAGAGCGGGCGAGTGGGCAGGGATCTTGGCCATTGCGAGCAAGGCCGGCACGCTGTAGCATTGTGAGGTGCTACGCTGCGCTAGGCTGAGAGAAGGCAGGCTGGCGCTAAGCGGTAGGGCGCAGGGCGCTGGCAGTCATAGCCAAGCCGCATGAGAGCGCTGAAGGAGGTGAGGGCGAAGGTGGTTCTTCGGAAGGTGAAGGGCGCTGTGTGGGATAACAAGGGAGAGTGAGGGAGAAGAGAGAGACGTACCTGGTGGAGAGGAGGTCGGCATTGGTGTTGACGTCATCACTCGCTGGTAGTCAAGTTGTCTGGTTGCTTCCATGCTGTAGTTGTAGGGATAGGCTGTTAGAGTAGATAGGGCGCCTGGCGCCATTCAAGAGAGAGAGCTACATTGGGGTATGTTGTTGGTGTTGCCCGATTGGGCTTAGACATTGACTCAGGATTCTGCTGTATCGTTCTCAAATGTGTTGCGATCCTGGTCACTTCCCAAGTGCAAATTCACAATGAAAGACAATGCCACCCAATTGCGAAAGAAATGAAAGCACTTGCAAAGAGATAAAGACCAGAGGAGAGGTAAAGAAGAAGAAGAAGAAGAAGAAGAAGAAGAAGAAGAAGAAGAAGAAGAAGTACACCAGCAAGACCAATGACAATTCCCCCTTCTCTCTCCACCTTCCTCCTTCCTCCTTCTCTTCACCAAACTTATTCTTCTCTCAATAATAATAATAACAATGAATGGATGAACCAGAATCAATGTCCGAAGTTCCCCCTTACTGCTGACTCAACTCACAACAACAACAACAACAACAAGTCCACCACAGCTATATCTTCCCTCCTTCAACCTCCTCTCTCATTCATAGGCCATGGCGGACTACTGGGTGGCAGCTATGGTGCTGCCCTGATGTCCAGAAGACAACCCAAAGCAGCTATGTCGCTGCTTGACTTGGTCCGCTATGCCTGACTCTGCCTCGAGCTGCCCTTGTGCAGCGCTACCCCAACTGGGGCCTTCCAGATGCAGCGCCCAACAAGGTGATGAAGACGGTGTCCACCATAGCCAGGTAAAAGCCCTACCACTCTC